GTCTCAAAAAAAAAAAAAAAAAAGGTGTCTTCAGTGTTTTTTATCTTAGCCATTCTGACAGGCGTAAGGTGGTATCTCAGAGTTGTTTTGATTTGCATTTCCCTGATGATTAGGGATGTTGAGCAATTCCTTAAATGTCTTTCAGCCATTTGAGTTTCCTCTGTTGAGAATTCTCTGTTTAGTTCTATAGCCCATTTCTTAATTGGACTGTTGGGCATTTTGATGTCTAATTTCTTGAGTTCCTTATATACTCTGGATATCAGTCCTCTGTCAGATGTGGGGTTGGTGAAGATCTTTTCCCATTCTGTAGGCTGTCACTTTGCCTTGTTGACCGTATCCTTTGCTCTACAAAAGCTTCTCGCTTTCAAGAGGTCCCATTGATTGATTGTTTCTCTCAGTGTCTGTGCTACTGGTGTTATATTTAGGAAGTGATCTCCTATGCCAATGTGTTCAAGACTACTTCCTACCTTCTCTTCTAGCAGGTTCAGAGTAGCTGGATTTATGTTGAGGTCCTTGATCCACTTGGACCTAAGTTTTGTGCACGGTGACAGATATGAATCTATTTGCAGTCTTCTACATGTTGATATCCAGTTATGCCAGCACCATTTGCTGAAGATGCTTTCTTTTTTCCATTGTGCACTTTTGGCTTCTTTGTCAAAAATTATATGTTCATAGGTGTGCAGACAGCCCGAACTGACCTACTCTGGTGATGGGATGGCCAAACACCCTAATTGTCGTGCTAGAAACCCCATCCAACTACTGAGGGATCTGGATGCAGAGATCCATGGCTAGGCTCCAGGTGGATCTCTGGGAGTCCAATTAGCGAGAATGAGGAGGGTTTATATGAGCGAGAATTGTTGAGACCAAGGTTGGAAAAAGCACAGGGACAAATAGCCAAACGAATGGAAACACATGAACTATGAACCAATGGCTGAGGGGTCACCAACTGGATCAGGCCCTCTGAATGGGTGAGACAGTTGATTGGCTTGATCTGTTTGGGAGGCATCCAGGCAGTGGGACCGGGTCCTGTGCTCATTGCATGAGTTGGCTGTTTGAAACCTGGGGGCCTATGCAGGGTCGCTTGGCTCGGCCTGGGAGGAGGGGACTGGACCTACCTGGACTGAGTCTACCAGGTTGATCTCAGTCCGCGGGGGAGGCTTTGCCCTGGAGGAGATGGGAATGGGGGGTGGGCTGGGGGGAAGGTGAGGGGGGACGGAGGGGGGGAGAACAAGGGAATCCGTGGCTGATATGTAGAACTGAATTGTATTGCAAAATTAAAAAAAAAAAGTTTTAGCTTTAATATAGTAAAATTATATATAATAAACAGTTATCAAGAATTATAGCTATAATATCTACTCTATTTGTATTTGGCAAAATTAAAGAAAATAGTTTATCATCTGTCCTATATTTGTTAACCTAAAGTTTCATACCTAATTTACCTTTTATCAACCATTGAAAACTATAATTATAACTATCTAGTCTTCAAGTCCATCGAAGACCCCAGAAGGACATGATAATATCTAAATAAACAGGAAGTGCATTGTAAGCAACTTCCAAAAATCTAGAATGACAGAGACATCTGGCTGCCTGTACAGTTCCTCTGCAACATTGGGGCATCCATCTTCAGCCTGTATGCCTAGAGTTTTTTAGTTACTTCTCTGTGTCCTGTAGAACGTCTGGCAGTCTCCTCTGCAAAGCAGGAACCTGAAGGACCATCTTGCCTTGTTTTAGCAAAATATAGTGGTCATTTTTCCATGGGTCCTGTATGTCCAGTCTATAAAGCATACTGTCAAGCAGTCCAGGCAAGATCAGTTCTTTGCCCAGCAGGCCATTTTGTGCCAAGAAAAAGATAAATTCCATATGGAATGTCTTCAATGCCCATCTTCTTCTTTGAAGTAAATTGGTGCTGCCAGGAACAGACATGTCTCACTGTCTAGAAGAGTCTAAGTTTTTAAAACAATTTGAGTGCCATATTCTGTAAGTCTTTGAAGTGTTTGAAGATTACTTACCTAATTGCAATATATCTTTATATGCCTGCAAAACTTAACTAACATGACTGTAAGTTTGATTATCCTAGCCCAGCTAATCTGTATTTCTTAATTATACATTACAATTTTAAATGAGCTGCATAAACATAATACCTTAAACAAGAGTAGAAATATACATACAGTATAACAAAATTAACTTTAAATTTGTAATAAACTAAAATCTACAGCAGTGTAAAACATTTTAAACAAGTTGTTCTTTAAAAGTAGATTCAAAGCCAGGCGGTGGTGGCGCACGCCTTTAATCCCAGCACTCGGGAGGCAGAGGCAGGCGGATCTCTGTGAGTTCAAGGTCAGCCTGGTCTACAGTGCAAGATCCAGGACAGGTTCCAAAACTACACAGAGAAACCCTGTCTCAAAAAACCCAAAAATAAATAAATAAATAAATAATAAAAGTAGATCCAATAACTTACCCTTTCATCCTATCATATCTATAATATCCCCTTTTCTTCTTTAGAAAGAGATTGCATTTATAATCAACCCTTTTAAATAAAAATAAACACTTATAAACAATATTTTGGGAATTTGGGTGTAACTTCTCCTACTATTTCCTGCTGATTTGGGGTGCTGGTAATCCTATGGGGAGCCTAAGAAAATTAAGAATTATAGTTAAATCTTGGCTGGAGTAGTCTGTGAGGATGGATCATCTCAGCCAGTCGCCTTGAAGCTGATTTTGGATGTTGGATCATCTGGGCCATGGTGTCATCAGAGACCTTTCAGGGGTTCTTGGCTGATCAAACCATATGAGCCTAGAAGCAATCCACAGGTTCTCATCTTCTGTGGAAACAAAAGCAGAACCTCTTTTCCAAAGCAACGTATCCTTAGACACAAATTTTGAAGTCAAGATACCTTTAAAGTATATATATATTGGTTTAACTCAGCAGCCTTTACAATCAAATATCTTTCTGCAGTTAAAAATCCCAAAGACAATATAATAATCTGCAGTATCCAGATTCTTTGTGTAATTTTCATCTTTTTGTGGCCTAACTTTTATATTATTCTTATTGTCTCTTTAAATACTTTATTTTTTAAAGCTATCTGCTTCTTTATATAACTGTCTAGCCTGCTTTTCCTCTCTCTTCCAAGCCTATATACATTTTTATACATAATGTAAGCCATTTAGAGGTTTATTCCATCTGAATCTGTCTTTTGTGTATCTATAATCCTTTTCTGATCATTGCTTTAAACTGCAGCGTGGTTAGGACTGAAGCGGCAGCCCATCTCAGCTTCCCAACATGGTGGAGGTACCTCCTGCCAACTCTGAGAGCCATGCTCACTGTCAGCTCTGGAAAGCAGTGAGTCTGTGTCTCCAACAAGCAACATATAGCCCAGAAACCTTTTTTTTTTTTCTTTTTTCTGTACTAGCAAAAGCTAAATTCACCACTCAGTGTGCTGTATGGCTTGGAGATATCTCTGTGTACTATTGGTGGGTTTATTAAGGCAACTCCACGTAGTTAAAAGGGAGGTTTATTTTGGGGTAACTTACAACAAGTAAAGGTATAGGTTACAGGATCCAGGAGAGGTGAAGTGCAGTCCAGCGGTGTTCTCTGGAGAACTTTGCTCAGTCTATCATCCAGGATCACCAAGAACCAAGAGCGCCTGTATATCTGGATCTCGGGTCTTAAGGGCTCCTGTCTCGGCCCTGCCTCGGGCAGGTCATAGGTAGGCGTGACAGTTACTGGAAGCCTCACTGGGGGTATTACTTCCAGGTCAAAGCTGGAACAGCTACACACTACAGTGTACTGCGTGGGAATCTGCCATACTGTAGGTCAAGCCTGCAGGCTGTGGCTGGCCTGAGAGACACAACTAGGAAGCTGTTTTTAGCTCCATTTTAGAATCTTTTTTTAAAGCTTTCTCAGGTTTTGGGTGGAAATTCTTGCTACCATGTCCGGGCGCCAAATGTAGCCAGAAGGTTTCTCTGGTCCCACATGGCCCTGTGGTCCTGAAGCCACATATAAAATAATCACTCAGGCCAGGCAGTGGTGGTGCAAGCCTTTAATCCCAGCACTTGAGGGCACAGAGCCAGGCGGATCTCTGTGAGTTCGAGGCCAGCCTGTTTGACAGAGCGAGATCCAGGACAGGCTCCAGAGGCTTAATATTGTTTACAAACTGTATGGCCTATGACAGGCATCTTGCTAACTACCTCTTATATCTTAAATTAACCCATTTCTATTAATCTGTAAGTTGCCTCGTGGCCTTGGCATTACCGGACTGCTGGCATCTTGCTGCTCCTTCGGCAGTAGCTGGCATCTCCCCAGACTTCACCTTTCTCTTTCCTGTCTCTCTCCTTGGATTTCCTGCCTGCCTCTAAGCTGCCCTGCCATAGGCCAAAGCAGCCTGTTTATTAACCAATGGAAGCAGCATATATTCACAGACAGAAAGATATCCCCCCAGCACATACATGTCATATATAATATAAATTATATATATAAATATAAATTATATATATGAATATAAAATACTATATATAGTATTTTAATGTTACAGGAAACAATACTGTTAATGTAAGGTGCATTGTATTTGAAAAAAAACAAATCTTATGGCCTAGAGATGTAGCTCAGTTGGTACAATACTTGCCTGCATGCATGAAGCCTGGGTTTCATCCCTAGAACCTTATAAACCTGCCTTGGTGGTAGCCAGTGGAGCATTCACGGGGTGGAGGCTGGAGGAGTAGAGGGTCAGGGTAACGCTCAGGTAGTTAGTGAGTCTGAGGCTGGCTTGACTACAGACCCAGTAAGAGCCCAAAAGAAAAACACCACCAACAAAAAAGATGGAGTCACCCCAGAAACCCTGATGCTAAATTAACGATGGCTTAATTGCAGGCATTTGGTGGCCATGAGCGAGCGGCCTTATGTGTTTGCTTTTCCTCCTGTGTTCTGTGGTTTGCCAGAATGAAGAATTCTATGGGATGGTAACTAACAGTGTGGCCTCTAATCGCCCGTTTTTACTCATCAGTTTGAAGACAATGAGAAGGACCAACTGTTGCCAGAGGGAGGCCCAGATGAGAAAGGAGAAGAAAGATTCCTGTTTGTGGAAATGACACCAGAAGATGAAGGAAAAGATGAACTCGTTGTGACCATTTCCCACCTCAGCCTAGAAGATCAGCAAGATCAGCCAGCACCGAAGCAGACAAGTGTGCCAAAAGCTGAGACCACAGAACCTCCGCAGAAGGCCAAGGGTAGGCCGGCCGGCTCACATGAGACGCTGAAGACCCCTTGTTTTTCTTGTGGGAAGGTGGGGGTTATCAAAGTTTGAGGTGTTGACTTTTAAAAGCTCCTTCCAGCATATCAGGAAAAGGAAGAAATTTTAAACTGATGTTCTATATTGTAAATCAGATCCAAAAGGGTTTTTTTTTTCATTTTGCACAGACATTTTAAAAGTGGTTTTTAAATGTTCCAAAAAGCATTGTGCACATAAATCTCAGGCCAGGAACTGGGCTCCACTTTCTGTCTTGAAGTTCCTTGGGAGTGTCAGGTGGAGGCAGGTAATCACAGCACAGGACAGCAGCAAAGCCCTGCCCCATAGAAGAGCAAAGACCAAAGGGAATGGGACTGGGGAGCCCGTCCTGCAGAAGGCTGGAGGCTAGGAAAGGGGACAAGCAAAGTTGAGGGCCAGGAAGAAGGACTGAGCCAGGCTGGGGGCTGTTGTGGAGAATGAAGCCAGCCTAGGAGCTGGGACTGAGGGTCAACCCAGCAGAAAGAGTGGCCTTCCTGTGTGGCCATCCATGGCCCTGTCAGGGCATCTCAGTGATGGGCACGCAGAGGCAGGGGCCTGTGAAACTCTGTGGAGGTCTCATAATGCTAATGTAATAGGTGGCATGCTAGCAGCCCACAGGAAGAATTTGATTCTCACAGTGGTTTAATGGGCTGCTGTTTTAAAGTAATTTCTCGCTTATTTAAATCAAGACATTTTATCCCATTATCTCAATTTCTAGATGACTTTTTAAAAGTTCTCTCTGACTGGAATTGTAGCTCAGTGGCTCCAGCACTTTCTTAGCATGCATGAGACCTTGGGCTCCATTCCCGGTCCAGCAAGAAAAACAAGCAAGCAGACAAACAAAGTGTCACTAAAAAGTCATCCTGTGACAGCACACAGTGTCTTTCTCTTCTGTGACCATGGCCAGGTTGGGAAGGAATTGACTCAGTTTACGGAGGGACCAGCCACCCTGCCAGCACTTGGATTCCCTTATATGTGGCCAGGGTCACTCCTGTAGGTTCCTGCCTCTCGGGGTGGAGTTTCGGCTCTTTGCCTTAGGGCAGCTTCTCACACTGTCAGTCGTGAGGCTGTAGCCCCCAATTCCTTCCCAGCCTGTTTTCCAGTTTTTAATGTATTTGTAACTCCACACAACATTCACCACTCTAACTCCATGTTTGATCACCCCCATGAATGCATGTGGAAACCCCATAGGAAGGAGGCCACAGCATGTCTGTCGTTCACTGTCTGCATTACTCTCTTGAGACTGTCTCTCTCACTGAACCTGAAGCTAGGCGGGAGGCCAGCAAGCTCCAGCAGTCCTCCTGTGTCCAACTCCCACAGCACTAGAGTTAAAGGCGTTTGAGACCACATCTGGCTTTTTACATGGGCACTGGGGATTTGAACTCGGGACCTTGTGCTTGCATAGAAAGCACTCTTCCACACTGAGCCATCTCTCCTGCCCCACGTTTAACGTTCTGAGAAACTGCCAAACTCTCTCCATAGTCGCCCGCTGTATCGGAGGCTCATTCCCCCACACCCTCACCCAGCAGATTTCCGTGCGTTGTCCTGTGATTCTGGTGGTGGTTCTGATGGTACTGGGTGTGAAGAGGAACCTTGCTTTCATTCACATCACTCTAGTGGCTGTTTCTCCAAACACATCTTGGCCTTCTGTGTGTTGTCTGTAGAGGAACGCCTTCACAGCCTCGACTGCGTGTGTGTTCCCCGTGGCTGTCACCAAGCACCAGCTGCTCGGTGTCTTAAAACAGCAGATGTGATCGTCCACAGTGCTGGAAGCTAGAAACCGCCCTCAGCCAGATCTTCGAGAGCTTTGTCAGGAAATGTTAACAGAGGCTGCATCCCTCCTTCACAGCTGTCTCCTGGCGGAGGGTGGCCTCACATGTCTGTATGACCTGGCTCTGCCAAGGGGAACATCTGAGGTGCTGGAAAGGATTGTATCCAGTGCCGTAGCCACCACCCATGTGGCTGGTGGGCGCTAAAATGAGGCTTACCACAGAGGAGCCATGTCTTGTTTTCATTTCAGTTATTTTAGATACAAACTTAAACAGTCACGTGTGGCTGTTGGCTGTGGTTCCGTTCAGCTTCATGCCAGTTTGCCAGAGCTCCCTGGCTCGGGTGGAGGATGCTGGGAGGCTGTGCGGGTGTCTTCATTTCACTCAACAGAGAACATATGCACTTGGGTCCATGTTTTTGGGAGATTTGCTTCTGGGACCCCCTGCTTTGAGCAGACACTTCGTCTTCTGTCCTCTCTGTTCTCCACCACTCTCTAAATGTTGTGATATTTCTATAAGACTGAGTTTTTATTTTTGTTTTATTGTTATTTGAGACAGGGTTTCTCCTTGTAGCCCTGGCTGTCCTGGATCTCGCTCTGTGGACCAGGCTGGCCTCAAACTCACAGAGATCCTCCTGTCTCTGCCTCTTAAGTGCTGGGATTAAAGGTGTGCACCACCACTGCCCAGCTAAGATTGATTTATTTTCAGTTTATGTGTGTGTATGCATCCATCTGAGCACCATCTGTGTGCAGTGCCCACGGAGGCCAGAAGAGGGCACCAGATCCTCTGGAGCAGGAGTTACAGATGTTTGTGAGCCCCGCTGGTACCCATCCATTCTGCACCACAGGGAAGATGGGTTAGGGACCTAGACACCTCTCTCCTGACAAGATGCTCCTCGTGGGGAATGGGGTGTCCTGAGACGTCTCCTGATGTGTCACGGTGTCTTCTCCCCACAGGAAAACCCCGAACCTTCCACTGTGAAGCCTGCCAATTCACGTCGTCCAAATTCTCAACTTTTACTCGTCACATGAAAATTCACAGCGACGAGAGACCTCACCGGTGCCACCTGTGCCTGAAGGCTTTCCGCACCGTCACCCTCCTCCGGAACCATGTCAATACCCACACAGGTGAGGCGCCCCGGCGGCCTTCCTTCTCAGAGGCCCTAAGTCTCGGTGAGCATGCAGAGGAAACCCGGTGAGTTCTCCCTTCTCCTGGGGCGTCACTGTGGTCTCTGTCACTGTCCTCAACCTCGGTCTAAATAGAAAATTCCAGAAGCTGGGGGCAGAGCTCAGTGTAGAGCACTTGCCTAGCACATGCAGGGCCCTGGGTTCTGTCCCCAACAAAAAAAAAAAAAAAAAAAAAGGAAAATTACAGAAAAATAATTTTAAATAATTTTTAAAATTTTTAATTTAAATAATTTAATAATTTTCGTCAGTATTCTCCGGGTATCTGCTAAACTCAGTTTCATCGTGTGTTCTTTGTAAAATGAGGACTCAAGCAGGCCAGGCAACTTCTCTACTAGGCTACATCCCCGGCCCTTCTCTTCTTATTTTGAGACAGGTCTAAGTTGCTGAACTAGCCTGGAATTTGTGATCCTCCTGTCTCAGCCCCTGAGCAGCTAGGATGATGAACCTGGGCCACCAGCCCAGCTCATTGGTCTGTCAATTTTCTTATTGCTGTTCGTTCTGGTTTTTAGTATCTAATTTATTAGTTAAGCCTTATCATAAGCATCCAGGGATCGTTGGTACCTTGCTCCCCAGCAAGAAGGTGGGTTCCCACTGTGCAAATTTTATGCTTAGTTTTGCCTTTTTTTTTTTTTTTCTGTTTTGTTTTGGAAATACGGTCTCACTTGCAGTTCAAGCTGATCTGTATTACACCGATCCCCCTACCCCAGCCTTCTGAGTGCTGGGGTTACAAGCCTGCCACACCATTCCAACTTAGTTTTGCCCGCCGCTCCTCCCCGCCACCACCGCCGCAGTCCCCACGCCTTCTCGAATTTCAGTTAAAAGCACTAACTGTTACCCAGAACACTGTCTCGTACATCTGTGATATTTATAGTTCAAAGAACTTCTTAATTGCTGAAGCCTTTTCAGACTGCCATTTCAAAACTAAAAAGTCACTGGAAGTTTTGCAGTTAAGTCTTGTTTGAAAAGTGTAAACCACGTGATTTTTCAGGAACCAGGCCCTACAAGTGTGGGGACTGTGACATGGCATTTGTCACCAGCGGAGAACTGGTCCGGCACAGGCGTTACAAACACACTCACGAGAAGCCCTTCAGGTGCTCCATGTGCAAGTATGCCAGTGTCGAGGTGAGCTCCCTTGCACTCAGCCTTGTACGAGAGTGAGAAATCACCGCTCCGGAGAGGGACACTAACCTGTTACTCCACTACTCACCAAAGACACATTTTAAAATCTGTGCCAGAAGCCACAGGCATTATTGTCCAAATTGAATATGAAAAACTGGAGCTGGGTATGGTGGCTCATACCTGTAATCCCAGCACTGTGGCCGGAGGATTGCTATGAGTTCAAGGCCAACCTGGTCTACATACTAACCATTGGAGGACAATTTGATGGGGTCAGTTCTCTCCTCCTGGAGGACTGAACTCGGACAGTCAGACTTGGTAGAAAGCACCTTTACCAGCCAGGCATCTCACCACCCCCCAAACAGTATTTATCTATATTTATTTCTCTGATTTTAACGGGGAGGGTGGTCTGTGTGTGTGAGCCTTTTGGCTCCTCAGGAACCTGCACTAACACATTTCCTGGAGCTGGAGTCATAGTGCTTGGGAGCCCTTTGGCAGCTGTTCTGGGAACAGGGCCTGGGTCCTCTGCAGGCCTGCTGAGCCGGCTCTTCACCCGTCCCCCAACAATATTTAAAAGTATATGGATCATAGATATTGGCTATGGTTGAGAAATAACCCTGGGGCTGGAGAGGCGATCAGCAGTTACAAGCACCAGCTGCTCTTGCGGAGGACCTAGTTTGATTCCCAGCACCCACCTGCTGGCTCACAACAAGATGTCTGTAACTCCAGTTCCAAGAGATCTGATGCCCTCTCTGGTCTCTGGACACCAGGCACGCCTGTGGCACACACACATGCATGTGGGCAAAACACTCGTGTGCACAAAATGAAAATTTGAGAACTAAAGAGAGAGAGACCTCGGACTTATTGAAAAGGCCTTTTATGTCCTTATAAAAAAGTATTTTATGTCACCATCGGGGTCACAAACTAGCATACAACTTGGGAATTTGGGCTGAAGTTTTGAGCTGTGCCCCAACACCACCTGGACAGACACAGAGCTGCTGTCTTGAAGATGTAACCCTGTCCCCACACACTGAACCACCAGAGACTCTGATGGAATTTAGCTGCATGCTCTGTTCATGGCAACTAGGTGTTGTGTGTGTGTGTGTGTGTGTGTGTGTGTGTGTGTGTGTGTGTGTGTGTGTGTTGTATGTGGTTTGGACATACAAACTAAGGTTTGGACCCAACATGCTAGGCAACGATTCTCCCACAGCTATGTCTTCTTTTTTGAGACAGGGTCAACTAAGTTGCCTTGAACTCACTCTTCAGCTTAGGCAGTCCTTGAACTTGAAATCCTCCTACCTCAGCTTCCTGCATTGCTGGGATGACCGGCCTTTGCTGCCTGCCATCAGGACCCTCAGTGAAACAAAGGCCGTGTGTGGAGTCTCCTTTTCAGGTCCATTTTCTAGCGGTCCGTGTCCAAGGTTCCATTTCATGTGAGGAAGCTGGCCTATCCTGGTGGAGAGCCTGGCAGAGGAGGGTTAGGCGGGGACTGCTCACAGGAACTAAGCTAAAGGGGACAGCAAAAGCTTCAACACGGCCATGACGCAAGTGTGTTTCATAAATTGGGGGATTTCACAGATGGGTCGGAATTCAGTTCCAACTGTGGCTATTTTTAAAAAGAGCTTTCCTATCCGAGGCAAAGGTTGTAGCAGCAACATGAGGGTTCAGAAGGTGTCCAACAAGGAGCCTGAGGCTCCTCACAGGAAGGACTTCCTGTGGGTGCCCCACCATTCTCTCCAGGAACTTGCAGGCTCTGAGACCCTGCCTAGCAGCAGAGCGTCCATGCAGCCCAGGGATGGCCCACGGTGTTAAAAATTTGTTTTCTTGAGCTAGGTGGTGGTGGCACATGCCTTTAATCCCAGCACTTGGGAGGCGTAGGCAGATAAGTATAGGCATAGGCAGGTAACTCTGTGAGTTCAAGGCCAGCCTGATCTACAGAGCAAGTTCCAGGACAGCCAGAGCTTTTACGCAGAGAAACCCTGTCTTGAAAAACAAACAAACAAAAACAAAAGAGAAGCCAGTAGCACCCAGAGCCACACTTTGGGGCAACAGCACTGTCTCTGTCTTCACCCTGGTTAACAGAGGGCCGGTGAGGACTCTGAACCCCAGGCACCTCACATGTGGCTCTCCGTTTATCTAATGGTTCAGCTTTTCTACTTGAGAAAGTTTTTCCAGCTTTCGTCTTTTCAGAGATTTAAACTTTACTGCTGTGAGTGGACAGGGACTTGAAAAGAAAGAAAGAAACATACAGAGCACTGAGCAGCAAGCTCTGTTTCTGTTTGTAAAGTGAACTTTAGTGTGGAAGTCTTCAAACCGCTGCTCATTAACCCCAAAGGACCTTGTGCATACAGCCGGTGGCAAAATTAAGAATCAGCAGCAGATTGGACAGTTCTGTTTCATGGGACACCCCAATACTGAGGTCTGGTTAAATTAAAATTTTCCTTTTTGCTTTTTGGAGACAGGGTCTCTGTAGCCCAGGTTAGCTTAGGGTTCACTGTATGACCCAGGCTGTTCTCAAACTTGCAGCAATCCTCCTGCCTCAGCTTCCCCAAAGTTGGAAATTACAGACAGGTACTACCACACTAGGTTTCCTTCCCCCTCTTTCCTGGGTTATTTTGGGGGGGCGGGGGCAGGTTTGAGAAAAGGTCTCCTGATACAGCCTTAGTGGGCCTTGAACTACAATCCTCCTGCCTCAGTTTCCTGGTTTCCTGAGTTGCTCATATCTCTCATAGGAAGTTGGTTAACTGAAGCCCTGACCACCCTCAGGTTCCCATCGCAATGACCCTCTCCCACATGTCCTAGGCAAGCAAGCTGAAGCGCCACATCCGCTCACACACGGGCGAGCGTCCCTTCCAATGCTGCCAGTGTGTTTATGCCAGCAAGGACGCCTACAAGCTGAAGCGCCATATGCGGACCCACTCAGGTGAGAGCCTCGTGCACCCACTCAGGTGAGAACCATGCACCCACTCAGGTGAGAACCTCGTGCACCCACTCAGGTGAGAGCCTCGTGCACCCACTCAGGTGAGAGCCATGTGCACCCACTCAGGTGAGAGCCATGTACCCACTCAGGTGAGAGCCATGTGCACCTGCTCAGGTGAGAGCCATGCACCCACTCAGGTGAGAGCCATGCATTGCTCAATTGGTTTGTCCTGTAAAGATTATGCATGCCCAGGTCTCCTCTCTATACACAATCTCATGCGCCCTGGTGAGGGGCCACTAGTGTTGGGGAATTTCACATCTGGGCCCTGTGACCCTGCCTGGCTTGCCTTCCCTATCCTAAGCCATTGAGGCTAAACCTACAGGTTTAGGTGAAGCCCCAACACAGGCATTCTTTGGGAAGGACCGGGTCCCTGGGAAGCCATGCCCTGAGTCACTTGCTGTTCACGTCACAGGTGAGAAGCCTTATGAATGCCCCACCTGCCATGCCCGGTTCACACAGAGTGGGACCATGAAAATCCACGTGGCACAGAAGCACGGAGAGAACGTGCCCAAACACGAGTGTCCCCACTGTGCTACCATCATTGCAAGGAAGAGCGACCTGCGTGAGTGTCTGGGTTAATGGTGTCCCCTTGGCCACAGTACAGGCCTTCCTCCTGGACTCCCGAGGTCTGCAAGCCTGCAGAGCCTGCCCAACTCTGCAAGGCTTTGCTGAGTTTGGGAAACTTTTCTAGAAATGTTTTTACAGGGGTCCTGTCCCGCCCTCTGGTGGCTGAACTGAGTAAGTGCAGTTCAGGAGCCGCCAGCCCAGTCTACATACCCGAATGATCAAATCCATGGGTATTGTTTTTATCTGCTTTGGACCTGCTCTTACAGATAAGGACACTGAGGCTGAAGGACATGGATAATTTTTCTGCAGAGACAGTGGTCCTGATGACCTGGGTATCAAAAGGCAATGGTGTTAGAAGTTTAGCCCCGTCCATGCTCCCTCCTCAGCCCACCTTTTGCACACTTGGAGCTTGATGAGGGTTTAGAGGAGAAACTGAGGCAGGGTTCTCCCTAAGGAACTTGCTTCGTAAGAGGCGGCCTGTGACACAGAGTCTGCCTTCTCCTGGGGTGAGCCTTGGGACGAAGGACAGCCTAGGACAGGACCAGGCTTGCAGGGGTGGGACACAGGACAGCCTAGGACAGGACCAGGCTTGCAGGGGTGACGGTGCTTGTGCTTGGGGGCCTGTAGTGCGCCAGCCCAGCAGGGAGGGGCAGACAGCCTGTGGCATAGGAGTGTGGAGGACAGGGAGCTGGGGAGAGAGCCCTTAGATCTCCATGACACCCCTACTCATCCTCTTTTTCCCCCCTCTCTTTCCCAAAAGTATGATGTCACAGGGACAGTAAAAGTGTCATTGAGAATAAAACCCCTCTCAGTGCCTCGGAAAATGCAGAGATTTTGGAACTGCCCCTGCGGGGGTAAAGGCATTTGACCAATCTTTAACTTTCGTCTTTCATCTGGAACATTCTGTCAGTGCTACTGTGGTTCCCAAGGCACCACCAAGCACTGCCCAGTGGGACCTGTTAGGACAAAGGGACCACTAGCCAGTTGTCACATGCCAGAGGGAACTGCTCTGTAGCCTCTGTAGGGGTGCTAGAGACTCTGGCTCTTCCTCTCCCCGTAAGAATGAGGCGGTCTGTCCACCTGAGTCGGGAGCTCCTCCATCATTGTGGTATCTTTTGTTCAGCCTCTCATAGTGCCACACGGCCACCAGACCTGAAGCTTAGCTGAGTAAAGAGCTTCCTCGACAGTGTGCCCAGTGTGCATCTCTCTCAGGTCATGGGGACAAAGGGGCCTAGACTTCCAGCAGGACAACAGTCATGGTTTTGTTACAGAAGACCCCTTAGCCTTGCTCTGAAGCCCCTGCATGTGCTAAGATTCTCAACGTTCATGGTCGACCTGTAGCCATGATCTCCCCGTTGAAGGTCTTAGACTGAGGCCTCTGATTAGTTCCTTTATGGTGATGGTGCTGAAGTGGGACATTCGTGCCCTGGGGACATGCACCTGGATGTGGAGGTGGGAGCCTGTCATCTCTGAGGGAGGCAAGCTAATGTGTGGCAAGGGAGCCCCGAGGTGCCAGCGAGAGTCTGTAGTGCCCAGAACTGCCCACCCCACCCAAGAAGTCCCTAGGCATTCACCATGCCACAGGTCAGCGTGTCTCCTTGGCCCTAACAGGTGTCCATCTGCGCAATCTGCACACCCATAGCCCCGTGGAGGTCAAGTGCCGATACTGCCCCGCCGGCTTCCACGAGCGCTATGCCCTCATTCAGCACCAGAGGACCCATAAGAATGAGAAGAAGTTCAAGTGCAAGCAGTGTGATTACGCCTGCAAGCAGGTACTGTGTGTGAGTGGATGAAGAGACTGAGAAGCAGTCATTCTTTCTTAGGAAAGAGACTGGGTTGGAGAGGTGGCTCAGCTCTCAGGAGCAGTTGTTGCTCTTGCAGAGGACCTGAGTTTGATTCCCAGAACCCACAAGGTGGTTCACAACTATCCGTAACTCCAGGGGATCTGACACCCTCTTCTGACTTTCCTGGGTACAAGGTACACACGATACATGTACATACAAGCCAGAAAAATACTCCTATATATCAAAATAAAACAATAAGTGAGCATAAACTTAAGGAAGGAAGGAAGGGAGGGAGGGAGGAAGGAAGGAAGAGGCTGGAGTGGACCAGCCTTTTTCTTCTGGGTCACCAACCAGCTCCCAAATCATGGCACAGAGACTTCTTAGTTTTGAATGCTCGGCCTCGCTCAGCTCATTTCTAGCTAGCTTTTTTAACTCAACCTGTTTACCTTTATCTACCTTTGCCTCGGGATTTATTGCTGTTCTTCTGTGCATCTTACTTTGACTGCATCTTGTGTCTGCTGGCAGGCTCAGGGCTGCCTGGCTTCTGGCCCCAGGCGTCTCCCTCTTGCTCTCCTCTCTTCTTCTCTCTCATTCTTCTCTTCTTTTTCTCCCCAGCCCAGAATTCTCCTCCTATTTATTCTCTCTGCCTGGCAACCCTGCCTATCCTTTCTCTGCCTGGCTATTGGCCATTCAGCTTTTCATTCAGCTTTTCACCATCAGGTGCCTTAGGCCGGCAAGGTGAAATGGATGCAACACATCGTTACATGGTTAAACAAATGCAGCATAAACAAAAGCAACACCTTTACACCATTCAAATAACATTCTACAGCATAAATAAATGTAACTCATCTTCTCCTAGTTAAAATAATATTCCACAGCACTGGAGAGCTGGCTCAGCAGTTAAGAGCACTTGCTGTTCTGTCATGAGTAGAGTTCGAATCCCAGCACCCACACTGGGTGGCAGATAGCTGCGCATAACTCCAGCTCCAGGGACTCCAGTGTATCTTCAGAGCTCTGCGTACTTACACACATACAGACACATACATAAAGAAAAAGAAAAGGGGCCGGTGTGGTGATGCACAACATTAGTCCCAGCTCAGAGGCCGGTGGATCGCTGAGTCTGAGGTCAGTCTGGTCTACATAGCAAGTTCCAGGACAGCCACAGCCACATAATGAGAGCCTGTCTCAAAAAACAAAGAAAGAAAGAAAAGAGACCTCTTTTTTTTTTTTTTTTTTTTTATTAATTTATTTTGCAATACAATTCAGTTCTACATATCAGGCACGGATTCCCTTGTTCTCCCCCCTCCCGTCCCCCTCACCTTCCCCCCAACCCCCCCCCCCATTCCCATCTCCTCCAGGGCAAAGCCTTCCCCACAGACTGAGGTCAACCTGGTAGACTCAGTCCAGGTAGGTCTAGTCCCCTCCTCCCAGGCTGAGCCAAACAATCCTGCATAGGCCCCAGGTTTCAAACAGCCAACTCATGCAATGAGCACAAGATCTGGTCCCACTGCCTGGATGCCTCCCAAACAGATCAAGCCAATCAACTGTCTCATCCATTCAGAGGGCCTGATCCAGTGGGGACCCCTCAGCCATTGGTTCATAGTTCATGTGTTTCCATTCATTTGGCTATTTGTCCCTGTGCTTTATCCAACCTTGGTCTCAACAATTCTCGCTCATATAAACCCTCCTCATTCTCGATAATTGGACTCCCAGAGATCCACCCAGGGCCTACTCATGGATCTCTGCATCCAGATCCCTCAGTAGTTGGATGAGGTTTCTAGCACAACAATTAGGGTGTTTGGCCATCCCATCACCAGAGTAGGTCAGTTCGGGCTGTCTCTCGACCACTGCCAGCAGTCTGTTGTGTGGGTGCTAGAGAGGCCCACAGAAAAGAGACCTCTTGCTGCTGACCTTGGAAGAGTTGGCCTTGACCAGAGAGCCAGCTCAGAGTAGCCGGAGCAGCCACAGGCCATCAACCGCAGCTGCTGCCGAGAGAGCTTACAAACCTGCCGAGGTCCTCGCCACACTCAGGGACCATCGTCAAAGTGACGTCGGCGTGACCCACCTCCTCTCTGCGCGGACATCCAATGTCAGAGCCGTGGTGTGTCTTCGCCCTAACTGCGGCAGTAACATACCAGTAACATACAAGACTGGACTGGCTACAGCTGGCATCTTCCTGCCCGGAAGCCAAAACAAAGGGCATGCCACTCAGGAATAGCTGAAGGGTCCTTGAGATGGCTCAGCAGGTAAGTGCTCCCTCGGCCAGTAAACTGTTCCAGCAAGCTTGAGGAGCTGAGTTCCACCCTCAAAACCCAAGGAAAGGGGGAAGGAGAGAACCAATTCCATGAAGATGTCCCCTGATCGCCACTCATGCACTGCCCCCACGCACCACATACACACAAAATTCAGTCATTTTAAATGTCCTCAGAAATGCTGTCAAGGTTATTTCCTTAGTAAATCTTAACCCGACACAGTCTTTAATGCTCTGTGGGAGGAGAAGGATGCTGTAAACAGCAAACCCCTGCCTTCTGCAGCCCGGGGAGTGGGGTAGTATGAGTTACCAGTTTAACTAGCCACCTCCCATGGTGGTGGTTTTCATTTGAACACGTGCTCAGCAGACAGACTGTGTGTGTGCTGACAAGCACGTGGCTTTGACAAACGGATGGCATGGTGGGAAATTCAGGGGAGTCGTGTTGCCACTGATAAAGCTTCATCTTTCAAAAGAAAATTAGAATTCAGATTTTGGAGACGTTGTCGTCACGAACATTGCATTTTCTGACCCTTGAAGACTCCTGACAGCACTGGGAATCTCTGGGAAGCAGGCTTTCGTTTGACCGTGGGATGAACCACATCCATGTTTTACACAGACTCCACAGCTCTGCACTCAGGTGCTCTCCAAATGACTGCCCTGTGGGGCAGGAGAAGCACGCCTAGCCCAAAGGTCCGTTCAGCACAGGGCACAGAAGGTTGGTCGTCACAGCGTCACACTCAGTGTTGCACCGCACTTTAAAGAGACCGTGTCCACAGTTCCTTCTGTGTGGGGGTGCCTGCCCAGGCACACGGGGAATCCAGAGCCCAGCACTGAGTATCCTCATCACTTTCTGCCTTACATTTTGAGACAGAGTCTTACCAGTCCTGGAGCTGGGTGATCAGATTGGCTGGACAGAGAGCCCCAGGAGTCTCCTCTCAGAGCTGAGGTTACAGGGAAACACCACCACACCTCGCTTTTACAGGGGTGTTGGCGATCCAAACTCAAGGTCCTTATGCTGGCACAGGAGACAGTTTACCCACTGAGCCGTCTCCCGAGCTCCCTCTGGCTCTTTTTAAAAACTGTGCCTGCACTCCGGGTTCTCCTCAACAAACACCCATAGCTGCAGAAGAAACAGAGGCAGACGTCTCCTGAATCCCTGAAAGGATTTTCAGACTCGGCAGGAAAAGTACGGAGCAAATAATTCTGAATTTCACATAATCTGTTAATGATTTTGCCTGTGTGTGAGCCCTGAACATTAGCATGTCGTGTTATTTTTTAATGTATGATTTTCTTTTAACTTTTCAAAATGTTTGCCAGTTCCTCACTTCGTGTTTCTCATAGTGAATATGGCTGTGTCTCATCCACAACACAAAAGTGCTTTGGAGCGTGTGGTGATCCTGAGTGTGCCTTGGTGCTTGGTCTCACTAGTGGACACAGAGTCAGGCTTTCACACTCATCATCGTTCAGAGTGTGGGTTAGATTGGGGCTGGAGAGATGATCGGTAGTTAAGAGTGTGTGCTGCTCCTGTAGAGGACCAGAATTTGATTCCCAACACCTATATAACTCTAGCCACACAACTGCCCATAACCCTAGCACCAGGGATCTGATACCCTCTAGCCTCTGGTAGCCCCCACCCAGGTGTACATGTACACACATACACACTTGAATAAATTTTCCTCCTCCTCCTCCTCCTCCTCCTCCTCCTCCTCCTCCTCCTCCTCCTCCTCCTCCTCAGTGTGGGCCATAGAGAAGTTTTGTTTGTTTTTCTTTTGTTTTGGGGGGCAGGTCTCTTGTAACCAGGCTGACTTAGAACTCCACACCCTGATCCCTAGCACGCAGCAGACCCTGGCTCTGATGAGGGCCACACCGCTCTTGAGGACGGAAAGCGCGGTAATGATGGACAGTTCTGAGGAACCCTTCCAGCCCGAGTCAGCTGGGTCCCTGCTTTCCCCCAGGAGCGGTACTTGACGGCGCACGTGCGCACGCACACGGGAGAGAAGCCTTTCTCCTGTCCCGACTGCAACAAACACTTCAGACAGAAGCAGCTGCTCACTGTGCACCTGAGGAAGTACCACGATCCGAGCTTCGTCCCCGTTGTTCATCTGTGCCTCAAGTGTGGCAAAAGCTTTTCCCGCTGGGTAAGCACGCCCTTGTCTCCAAACAGTGACCCCTCCTTTAGGGAAGGTTCCCAGCAGTTTTTGGGTTCAGAAAAGTCAAGCGTTTATAAACACATGCTCTCCCTCGATAGGCAGAAGGGAAGCCCGGGCACACAGCCTCTGGGGGATGGAATCTGGGCCAGGTGTGTGCCAGGCAAGCATGCCGCTGGGCCTAATATATATATATATATATTTTTTTGAGAGCAGCTCTAGATAATTGTCCATTCTGGCCTTGATCTGTGCTCCTCCTGGCCTAGTCTCCTGAGCAGGTGGGACAGTCTAGATCACCAGGCCAGAGTCATACAGCCTGTTAGTCGTGTTCTTTGGTGGATAAGAAATTGACCCATGGTTACTTATTAGTGTTATTTTGGTTTTTAACCCCTTTTATTTTGGTAAAACCACTGTGTTCCACCAGGCCCAGGACTGGGCAACACCAGGGCAGATTGTCCACAAACTACGTTGAAAACAGTTTGGGGATTCTCTGACTCTGGAGTGAACCTAGTTTCTTTTTGTTTTCATTTTTGAGACAGGATCTCACTATGTAGCCCTGGCTAGCCTTGGAACTCGCTCTGTAGACCAGGCTGGCCTCAAATTCATTGAGATCCACCTGCCTCTGCCTCCTGAGTGCGGATTAATGGTTTGTGTGCCACATGCTGGGTTTAAAAACCTAGTTTTTATAGTGTAAGAGTTGACAGTTACCCTGTGAACTAAATGCAGGCGTCTTCCCAGAGTGATTTCCATTCTCAGGCGTTTCCAAGCTGTGAAATCAGGCAGTGGATTCACATTCATTTTCTATTTCTGAATAACAAATTACCTCAGAATGTCAGCGCTCAACAAATTTGTATCACACTACCGTGTACATGAGTCTGGAATCAGAGCAGTGTGGCTACGTGGTTCCGGTTATAAAAATAAAAGCACAGCTGGATACTTGGAATCCAACTTACCTTTTTAGAAGGTTAAGAGAAAGGTCTCATGTGTGGGGCTCAGGGAGATGCAGGAGCAGACTGATCTTTGGATTATTAGAAGAGTTAGTAACACCATAGATGGACAGCCGGACAGCATGGTGGGGCTCTGATAAGACAGTGTGGGATCCCTTCCTACAAATCTCACAGGAAGGGGAGGTTCCAGCAGGAGCCTGTGGGCCAGGTTTCTCTAATGTGGGGGAGGGGCACATATAACTGAGGTGTCCCGCCCACTGGGGGACCTTTGGCATCAGGCTCTCTGTAGGGTGTCTGCCTCTGTGCAGCATGGAGTTCCAGGATCAGCTACAGGGATGCAGGACTGACCTGGGATTCTTACATTTCTGGAGTCCTGGCACTAGGAGCCTGTTACAGACCCACAGGTCTGCTGTCTGGTAGGAGGAGGCTGGTCAGGGGCTGGGACACTGCAGGCAAGTGTACCCTGATTTGTCCCAAGCTCAAATCTACAGGTATTCACAAATTTCTGCTCACTAGCATACACATCAATTTGGCTCTGGATCAGAATGTCACCAGCCAGCAGCATGACTCCCCTTCCTGTGATGACCCTGACCCTGACCTAGGTGGCATCTCTGATGTTCCTTCTCTCCGGGCTCAGGGATTTGTCACATGACACTGTCTCTGTGTCCAGAAGAGTGTAAATATGCCACACTTAGCATCCTTGGCCTGCTTTTAAAAGGCTGACACGTCTGTATTCGTGTGTATTAACTCAGCTATACCAGGAGTTCTCAGCTCTAAACTCCGGGCACGGCAGACACATTAGTTGCTGCTTCCTGCCGGGGCAACAGCCCGTGGCTGGTCTGGGATGCGCAGAGGACTCCTGACCCCACCACCACCACCACGACTGAAAACAGGCTTCATTTTATACATAACCATACACAGCCGGGACCAGCACATTTTCTTTGTAAACAGAATAAACACTCCCGGCTTCTCGGGCAGCTTCTGCTCCAACTTGACAGCAGACGTGGACAGACCACTTATGAGCGGATGTTGGGAGAACGGTCTCAGTCTCCTCCCCGAAGAACACAGGAACAAAGCTAAAGTAACTGGGCAAGGCAATCTCTTTATAAAAAGAATATGCCGGAACCCAAATTGAGCTAGTGAACGTGCTCAAGGTAGATATGGGAGGGCTGAGCAGGTAGTCCTGGTTGTATAAGAAAGCAGACCGAGCCAGGTGGTGGTGACGCATGCCTTTAATCCCAGCACTCGGGAGAGGCAGAGGCAGGCGGATCTCTGTGAGTTTGAGTCCAGCCTGGGCTACCAAATGAGTTCCAGGAAAGGCGCAAAGCTACACAGAGAAACCCTGTCTTGAAAAACCAAAAAGAAAGAAAGAAAGCAGACCGAGTAATCCAGTAAGCAGCACTCCTCCATGGCCTCAGCATCAGCTCCTGCCTCCAGGTCCCTGCTTGAGTTCCTGCCTCGACTTCCCTCAGTGATGGGCTGTGACCTGAGACCTGTAAGCTGGAGTCCACCCTTCCCTCCCCAAGCTGCTTTTGATCATGTTATTTTTTACAGCAATAGAAACTCTAAGACAGGTACCCAGTTAGGTCATCACGGGTATAGGAGGAGGCAGTAGGTGTGGCCCAGGCATACAGGCCTTAAAGCAGACGAACACAAAACCAAAACAGTTAAACAAAGGAAAACATTCCATGTTCTCACTGCAAGAAATGGGGTCCATTTGTCTTAGCACAACTGTGACTGAATGCCCAGCGGTGTTCTCTGGGCCTTCTTTTGATCTCTCGTCAGCTCTTAGACACGGGCTGGTGCTGGGAAAGGAACCCACGATGAAGTGGAGAGAGCAGGAAGTGTGCCCCAGAGTCTGTAGGTGGCACTGTTATTTGGGGAGCACATAGAGGACCTGGGAAAGGAAATCGACCTTGGTGTGGACTGATCAGATGGCTCTGTGAATGGTGAAGGCCCCCTGGGCCCCCAGCGGAGCTGGTCACCCACTGTCGGGGGATCTGCTCCCTTGGAGCCTTGTTAACCTCGTCGTTTCCCATCCTGGATTCATGTGGGTTTCTCTGTCAGAGTTTCAACCCGAGTCTCAGCCTCTGGTAATGGAGGCTTCCTGCATTCTGCTTCTGACCTCTTCATCCCTCCTCAGCCGACTCCCCCATGGGGCAGTGTCCTGTGTTAGGACTTCTTAGCAATCAGAAGTCACCAAGGACACATGCGACATGTGGATCCAGACTTCATGTTCACTTCAGGTCAGCGGCATCTCTCATTCACTCTCTTGCTCAACCTCCAGAATGACCCAAGCACCAAGGAGTACTTTGCCAGGGAGATTTGGGTCCCGCAGAGGACCTGACTTTGGTTCCCAGCACCCACATCAGATGACTCACAGCCATCTACAACTCCAGCCACGGGGCATCTGACGCCCCCTTCTGGCCTCTGGAGACACCTTCACTCACACACACACACACACACACACACACACACACACACACACACACATTTTTAAGGTCATCTTGGTTTGGGTTTATTTTTTGGTTTTGGTCCAAAATCTAAAAGGTGCATATTACTTGCTGCCTTCCTGAAACCCACCTTTTAAGAAACGTATGTAATTATTGATGTATGGTATATCAGAGGGTGTAGCGTGTGCCACGGCATACATGCAGAGCTCAGAGCACAACTTACAGGAGTCAGTTCTTTCTGCCCATCACGTGGGTCCACAGGCTCCAACGTGACAAATTCCTCTACCTGTTGAGTCGTCCCCGAGTCCTTGAAGCCCACCTCTTAACCATGGGTTGCAAGCTGCACATGAGGACACTGATGTTCACTGGTGGCCTGTGTCATTTCCTTTAGAGTAACCTACAGAGACATAGGAAGAAGTGTGACCCGGCGCATGAGAAGTTGGCCACCTCCAAAAAGGGAAAACCAGAGCCGAGGAAGCAGGCCGTAGAGGAAGGACCGGCATGGGACAATGGTACGCGCTTTCTGATCACTTTGTTTTAATCTGGGAATGGTTTTCCCATGGTTAACCGCAGCTAGAAAGTCGTGAGGGCGGGGGCAGTGGGGCCCTGTCGCTGAGGGGCTTGGCAACCGCATCGGAGTGGCTTTGTTACAGCCACACTCGGCAGGGTTACCCACACTCAACCCAAACTCGGATCATCAGGCTTGGCAGCGGCCACTTACCTGCTCAGCCGCTCATGTCTAGTGACATTTTTGATTGCCACAGCTGAAAAGGAGTGTGCCACAGGCATCTCACGGGTGAGCTGCTGGCCTCCTATAGTGCCCACAGTGCCCATAAAAGAGTCCCTGTCCCCACTGCCCAGGTTGAGTAGCCCTGCCTCAAAGCAGGAGACCTGACAGCCGGTGTTCCGGAATCAGGTCGTTTTCCGGCATGCCTACTGCTGGTTCAAACTACAGCAACTGTTTCATTGTATACTCTCTGGTTCCCTGTCTGGATGTCTTGGCTTTCTCTCACGTTTTCTCACTCTGTATGCTTTCTCCTAGATCCTGCTGACCAGGAGAACGATGCCTCGAAGTGCCCTGGGGAGCTGACTCTGAGCCACGGTGGCGAAAACGCAGCCAGGAGCGAGAGCCTGGATGAGGGCCTGACCTGCGAGATGATCTTTGACATGATGGATAAGTGACAGGCTGCTCCGTGCTGTGGCCTCTAGAGAAGAAACAAGTTAGAAACAAGGTCACCATGGTGATAGCCATGTTCCCAGAGTTTGATGTAGTATGTAGAAATGTTTGAAGAAAAAAAAACTGCAACTTTTTCCTGAAAACAAGAGTCAGAGCTTGGAGTGAAGGGCACACCTCAGCCCCATGGGCTCACTCTCTAGTGATGGCAGGGTGGCCCACCATACGCCAGGGACAGTTTTTAGGAAATACTTATTTCCACAGGAGCTCAGCCCAGCCAGCATGTTGGCGGTTTGAAGAGGGAATCTTTTGCGTTGTTTGTCTATCCTTGATATTTCTGGCACTATGATTTCTAAACACTGAGGATGAATTGTATACCTTTTTTATACCGATGAATTTTCCATAATGTTTAAAACTACCAAGATGCTTTTAATGAATTTTAAATTCAACCCAAAGATCTTAATACTATAAAAAGATGGAGTAGTAGAAATCAGTCAGTAGCCCACTTGATTAGACAAAATAATATATATATATATATATATATATATATTATATATAATAGATTTTACTTTGACATTGAGCAAGTCTCACCTTCAGATGTTTGCCCCCCACCCTGCTTTTATAGACTTGTGGATTGAACCCAGGACCTGGAACAAGCTAGGCAAGTACTCCACCACCAAGCTACACCCCCAGCCACACTGAGCTGCACATCCTCTTCCTCAGTCTTTGGTAGCCAGAAGGCCCGGCCTTTGCCGCCAGGCCCGGCTTGCATTTTCTTTTAATCCCGTTCCTTGCCAGCTGTGAAATTGCGCTGGGGTTGTTAATAACATTATTTTTATTCTTAGCCAGGTATGACAGTGTGCACCTGTCTTCCCGGCACTCAGAAGGTAGAGGCAGGAGGAGGGTGACTTTAAGGTTATCCTCAGCTACATATCAAACTCCAGGCCAGCCTGGGCTACATGAGATTCTCTCTCAAAAAACAGATGTAGATCCTTTTGTTTTGCTAGAAGTCTTTTATTTACATTTTTAAATGATTGGCTGTGAGAAGAAATCTGATAATGAAATGTGTATTTGTGAAGAATTTGAACTTCTTGTAATTCTCACCAGTTAGGGAGAGTATCTGTTTCCAGCCCTCACTCTGGCCCTCGGTGTCTGAGGCCCTCGGTGTCTGTCTGGGGTCTTTCTGTTCAGGATCTGCAGCAGCCGGGCCTTATCTTTGTCTAGTGTTCTTCTGCTGTGGAGCCCCACACTGCCACATCTCCAAATCACCCATAGGCCCCAAGTCCAAATTCTTAAAATGTTGATCTGTTCAAAACATCCCACATGTGGTCACAGGAGCAGTCCCCAGCAGTGGGGCCACTTTGTCCTCTGGCCGCCTCAAATGGATTCCGCTGATACGTGACACGCAACAAGATTTAAACTCTGTAGTCTGCTGTATGCTGTCATTGTGACTCAAGGTTTATAGTTTCTTATTTTTGACTGTTGTAAAGATTTTTGCATAATTCAATAAAATGAAATGGTTTTTAAAAACTGTCTTTGTTATATGCGAATGGTGGTCTTTTTCATTTTTGGTTTACTAGAGATTAAATCTAGGGCCTCAGGCATGCTAGGCAAGGCTCTACCACCAGATACACCACAGCCATCTTTATACTTCCTATTTTGAGAAAGTTGTCCAGGCTAGCCTTGACTTCACTCTGTGTAGCCCAGACAGACCTTGAATTCTCAGTCCTAAGCCTCCCAAGTACCTGGGGTTATACCTCCAGAAAGCCTTTAAAATGTCCTTGGGGGCTGGAGAGATGGCTCAGCAGTCTTGCAGAGGACCTGAATTAGGTTCCCAGCACACATGCTGGGCAGCTCACAACCACCTGTAACCCCAGCTCCAGGGAATCTGACGCCCTCTTCTGGTCTCTTCATGTACATGTACTGCATGTACAATCCCTCCCCCACCCCCACCCCTCCCCCATAGACACACATACATATAGTTTAAAATTTTTGTTTGTTTTTGTTTTTCGAGATCGGGTGTCTCTGTGTAGACCCAGTGGTCCTGGATCTTACTCTGTAGACCAGGCTGGCCTTGAACTCACAGTTCTCTGCCTCCCAAGTACTGGGATTAAAGGCGTGAGCCACCACTGCTGGGCTTGGTTTTGTTTTTAATGTCTTGTTGGGCCAGAGAGATTGCTCAGAGGGTAAAGGCACTTGCCACCAAGCCTGACGACGTGAGTTCAATTCCTAGGACCCACATTGTAGAAGAGTACCAACTTTTGACTTTTAACTTTCACATGACGGTGTGGCACACACAGAAACACACACACACACACACACACACACACACACACACACACACACACATAACTTTTTAGAAAACTTCAATGTCTTCTTGAGTGACGGGCTGGAGGAACGGCTCAGTAGGTAAAATGTTTGCTGTGCAAGCATGGGGACCTTGGCTACCCAGTGCCCGAGTAAGGCAAGGTGTGACAGCACGCGTCTAATCCCAGGGCTTAGAGCCAGAGACAGTTGGATCCAACACAGCTGAATCGGTGGGTCCTGGGTTCAGTAAAAGGTGTAGAGAGATTGAGTAAGGCACTCAGTGTGGACCTCTGACCTCCACGCCCACGCACACTCAGAAGCACACACAAGGTGTCGTCAGTAGTGAGGATTTGGAGGACATCAGTCCTGTGCTCTGTGGGTGGAGACGGACTAGGCTTCGTCTTGTGAAGACAATGAGCAGTTCCCCAGAACATCTAAAGTAAAATTCCCATGTGGTTCAGCAGCTGGGCTGCTACCCAAGTGAACTGGAATTGGGGTTCCTGAGACAAATGTGTGCACCCACATTCAGACAGTATCCTGACAGCCAAAGATGGAAGCCAAACTCCATCAGTGGGTGAAGAGAAAAACAGTGAGGTCTGTGCATACATGCAATGGATCACTATGCAGTCCTAAAAAGGAAGTATGCTCCATCCTCGGTGAACATTGAGTTCTGCCGAGTGGTGTGACGGGAGTTTCCCCAGGGGAGTCAGCATCCTAGAGAGGGACAGGAGAACTGTGGTCAGCTGAGCCAGGGAGCATAGCGGGGTGGTGTTTTATGGGGACATTTAAACACCACTAAACAGTTTTTCACTATGAGGAGTTTTAGAATGGGCAAGACAGTTACACAACAGTGTGTCTCTCCTAACATCTCCAAACTGTCCATTTATAATAGCCATCATGGGGCCAGCAAGATGGTTCAGCAGATAAAGGTGCTTGCTGCCAAGCCTGATGCCTCGGGCTCAATCCCCAGAAGAGAACCAAAGCTACCCTGCAAGTTGTCCTCTGAGCACTGTTCGTATACCATGACACACATGAGCATGTGTACATGCACACAAATAACTGTAGTTTTAAGGAAGTACCCACAACAGGAACCTTTCTGTGCACTTCACGGCAATTTAATGCTTTTAGTGTAGGAACAGATAATGCTGGAGAGATGCTCAGGGGTTAGAGCACCGGCTGCTCATGCAGAGGGCCTAGGTTCAGTTCCCAACACCCACATGGCAGTTCACAACCGTTAGTCACTCTGGTTCCAGGGACATTGCACACACATGGTGCACAGGCATACGTCCAGTCAAAACACTCTCACATAAATAAAAATAAACCTTTTTAAAAAACATGCAAGACAAAGAATGTGTTCTTAAGATGCTAGCCTATGATGCTGGGGCTGGGGCTGTCACTCAGTTGGTAGAGTGGTTGCCTAGCATGAAGCTCTGAGCTTTATCCCCATCACGGAATAAACTGCGTGCAGTGCTGTGGGCTTGTAATCCCAGCATTGTGGAGACAAGAGACTCTGGAGTCCAAGGTCATCCTCGGCCACATAGTGAGTTTGAGGCCAAGTTGGACTACATGAGACCCTGTCTCAAATAAAATAAAATAAACAAGTCTAGTAGGTCTCCAAAGCGCTGTCAAAAATCTCCTTAAGAACAAACTTTTAAATCAGGTAGCAAAGTTCGACTTGGGTGGCTGGCGTTGACTCTGTTCTGTGCCGAATCCCACCACACACCTGGAGCTCACGCAGCCACACACACACACACACACACACACACACACACACACACACACACACACACACACACACACACACACACACACACGTCTCCCTTCCGGCCCATTGATTGGGCTCTAAGGTAGTAGCAGTGCCCACAGTGTCCACCAGAGGGCAGGCGTCTCCTTCTCAAGTATCGATACAGGTGATTTAAAGCTTTTCAATAAGCACACACAGTCCTAAGTCTTGGCAGCTTTGTGCAGCCAAAAGGAGAGCAAAAGAGAACTGGGGATGTGGCTGTTTAGTTAGGGATGTTTGGAGAACCTGCCGGCGAAGGGAGAGGAACTGCCTGGGAAGGCTTGCTTCGCTTAAGACAGTTTGGAAACTTGGAGATGCAGCAGGAACAACCTCTGGCCCACTTAATGCCTATTTTGCCAGGAGACTACCTAAATTGCAACTTGAGTTGACGGTGGCTCTCTTCTATAAAGACCGTTTTAAAAAACAAAACAAACAAACAAACAAAAAAATAACTTGAGACCTAGAGGAAGCACGGTTACATGGTGACCTCTATGCCTGAGATCGGGGATCCATCAGTGACAGGGGATGCTGCAGACATCCATGCCCTGGTGGCCCACTTTTAGAAAGTGCAAGAATGGCTTCATGCCTGGATCTTGTCTCCAGGGTAAACATTCGGCTCTTCTGATGCCCTTGACAGTCCTCGGGGGCCTCCCCTATCAGGATAGCCCCGCGTTGTCCCTGAAGACCTCTGTCACTGCCAGTTAAACCTGCTGACAAACATCTTGGAACGTGGTACTTGTCTTGGCTCTCACTCCCTCTCCCCAGCCTTTGGTGGGAGTTGGTTTGTAGCTGAGTTCTGGTGTGGGATGTTTGCAGCAGCTGCCCCATCGTTTCCAAGGCGTGGCTGTCACTAGAGACCTGGGCACCTCCAATCCTCTCTGAAACCCCCACAACCTAGTGCTTCAAGAGATGTGCTTGCCAGCCTGGCTCGGTGGCGCACGCCTTTAATCCCAGCACTTAAGAGGCAGAGTCAAGCAGAGCTCTGTGAATTCGAGGCCAGCCTGGGCTACAGAGTGAGTTCCAGGACAGCCAAGGCTACACTGAGAGACCCTGTCTCAAAACAAAAAAAGCAAAACCAAAAACCAAAAAAAAAAAAAAAAAAAACAAAGTCTTTGCCTCTGCTTCTGCCCAGTGCAGAGGACAGAGCAGGAGGCCCGCTGTGGTACCCACAACAGAAAGAGTCACCAAAATCTACTGAGGACAGGAACTGGCCAAGAGACATCATGCAAACAGATTTAGTGAAACAGCTGTCTCGGGACTGGAGAGATGGCTCCATGGTTAGGAACAGTGCTGCTCCGCCAGAGGACCCGGATTCCCAGCACCCACAAGGCAGCTCACAACTGCCTGTAACTCCAGTTCCAGGGGACCTGATGCCCTTCTCTGACCTCCACAGGCACCAGGCACACACGTGGTGCACAGACTTACAGGCAGTCCAAACAAACGCATAAAAGAAAAATAAATGTAAAAGAATAAAACTTTAAAAAATAGTTTTCTTAGGGGCAACTGAGTGAGCTTGGGGGGGGCCTGCCATGGATGTCATTTCTTGTTAGTGGCTGTAAGTGTGCAAACAAAAGTGATTAAGAGGCTTTTCAGATGATGACTGCAATTATATTCTAAGGCCTGAACCATGAAAAGCAGTAAAGAAGGGCTGGGGTGTGGATAGCTCAGTCGTAGAGAACACGCCCACTCAGCTTAGCATATGCTATGCCCCAGTCCCATCCTCAATGCCAATGGTGACAGTAACAACCAAGGCAGTAAACAATGGGAGAGCCTAGGCCTTCAACGGGCCCCTCGAACCCTGACTCTCGCGCCTGGTGGAGAGCCCCTCTCCTAACTGAGAACTGTGTCGTCTGGGGACAAAAGTGACTGGCCTGCCCGTGATCATGGACCACGGAGGTTAAAGGTATCTCCTCGGTGGAAAAGAACCATTTAGTCAGTACATAATTTGTCCTAAGCAGGGGCGGGTGTGTGGTGATATACTTGTAATCTAAGAAATAAAGCTTGCCTGAAGATCAGAGGACAGAGCCCGCCACAGAGGTAGCCACAGAGGTCAGGCAGTGGAGGCACACACCTTTAATCCAAGCACTCGGGAGCCAGAGGCAGAGATCCGTCTGGATTTCAGTGAATTCAAGGCCACAATGAGCTACATGAGATTAATCCAGTCTAAAAGAGAAACAGCCAGGCAGTGGTGGCACACACCTTTAATCCCAGCTCTTGGGATCACACACCTTTAATCCCAGCACTTGGGATCACACACCTTTAATCCCAGCACTAGGAAGGTTGAGACAGGAAGTGATATGGCTGGGCGGAGAAAGGAATATAACTCGGGAGGAGACAGGAATTCGCTCTCTTGCAGAGGCTCTGTCAAGCTGAGGAGTTGGTGA